ATCATTCCCTCAATTCTTGTAGTGGTACCATCATTCTGCCCCATACCATAGTTCAACAAAATTTCCAGACATGTGGCACTGACATTCTTGAACAGCTGGAACTCCAAGATCTCCCAATCCTCAAGGCAGACACTTACGTTCTTCCTGCCCGCGGGCGGAGACGATACCCTAGCAATGTGGCTCGTTCAACTTTTGACAGCCGTGAACTCCCATATAGCCCATCTAAGGCTATAATTTATTGTATTCTTCAGATCCTTTTCCTGATGGGACCTTTAATGAAAGTGCCCTTCTTCTATGCACTGATATTCCGTACCATCAGCTATTTGTTCATACTTCGCTGCATTACACAGCAGCCCGTATCCACTTGCATAGGTGGTATACGCTCTGTTCTTTATATCTCTCTCCTTCTCGGGCATTATCTATTCCGGATATTGCCTTTCTTGTTTCGTCATTACCACCACCGATTCTGTTACTTGGTGATTTTAATGTCCACCATTTCCTCTGGGGGGGGGGTCTCACTATGATTCCCGTGGCATTCAGTTAGAGGCTTTTCTTGCCACCCACCCCTTCCATGTTTTAAATACAGGTACTCACACCCATTTTGATCCTCGGACTCACACTCTCTCTTGCATCGATCTCTCAGTCTGCTCTTCCTCCACCGCATTAGACTTCACTTGGTCTGTTCTTCCGGACTTACATGACAGCGATCATTTCCCAATCATTCTTACTTCCCCTTCATATTCACCACCTCTTCGCATCCCACGCTGGCAATTTGATCAGGCAAATTGGAACCTTTACTCACACCTAACTGTTTTTAGAGAGGTTCCTTCTTCGTCCTCCATCGATGAGCTTTTACACCTCTTCTCGCCCTCCGTTTTAACCGCCTTCTCATTCTAACCCCAAAATCGGGCGGCATCCTCAAAATGCGTGCCTTCGTGGTCCCCTGTTGTGCCGTGCAGTACGTTAAAAACGCCTGCATGGGGCGGGGTACCAGTACAAAAAACCACGAGAGACTTCTTGAATTTAAAGGGCAGAAGGGGCGATCACTCGCCGTGTCATCCGTGACGCAAAAACAATTTGCTGGCGAATTATGTCCCCACCATCACCTCTGCTTCCCTATGAGTGCATCGGGAAAAAAATACGAAAACTGAGTGGTAAAATTCTCCTACCCGCCCTGTTCTGCGGGTTCCGGGTTGAAAGGGAAAACCCCTAGATGTTGCCAAGAAAAATTGGGAAAACATCTGGGCCATATTTTTCAGGGGGCCCATTATCCCCTCATTTTTTTTCCTCAAAATCCCCAGGAGTTAGCACCCCTTTGGCTTTTTTCTTTTCAGAGAAAAACAGTATAAAGTGCCTTTTAACCTTTAAGAACTGGGGCAACACCTCACTTGCCGATCATCGGGGCCCGGGCCCACGACATTCATATCGATGCAAAAACTTTACATCAGTCAGCCCTTGCAGTCCTTTACCCTTTACAATTTTTATTTGGTAAAGGATTCTTCCACAGCTGGGGGAAATCCGCCATTGTTCCCCTTTTCCGCAAACCAGGCACAGGGGGACATAAAAACCTTCCACCCCGCCCCCTTGTCTTACAGTGCAGTTTGCAAAGTGAGGGAACGCCTAGTAAATAGCTTTTAGGGGGGGATTTAGAGAAACACAACATTCTCCACTCGTCAAAAAGGGTTTCGAAAGGGGGACTTTTTCCCCAACCCCCCCTTACAACCTTGGAACGTATGTTCGTAATCCCTTTTGCGAAAAAAACCACTCAGTTTTCCCTTTTTTTTTGCCCTTGAAAGGCATAACACAACTTGGGGGTATAAATTTTAGCCCAGCCCACTCCAGGCCTTCGAGGCAATCTACCATCCTCCTTAAGAATTTTTAAATGACAGGCATTTCCGTTTGGGGTTAAAAATGTGCTCCCCCCGGCTTTATCCAAGCTAAAGGTGTCTTCCAGGGATGTGTTCTGAGCACAACACTTTTTCTCCTTGCATTAAGATTTGGCCTCTAGTTTTCCCCTAAAATTTTTGGGTTCATCATTTATTTTGATGATTTCCTTTTTCCCTGTGCGGGTGCTGACTGTCACCTTATTACAGTTTTCCCTTCAGCAGCAGTCGACCGTGTTTTTAATTGGCCACCCAAGTTTTCCTGGGTTTACCTGGGGGAGAGTTCCGGGGTCAACGCCCCCGCGGCCCCGGGCTGTGACCAGCCCCCTGGGTTTTTTTTTTTCCAGAACTAAAAAAACCCCCAAAATTGTTTCACTAGACCTCTGTATCTCCCATCATCCTTTGTACCTCTAGGCTCCCCTACCCGAAAGAGATACGTCAAGTTTGGGCCTCCTCTTGATCGAGGTTATCCTGGGAAAACCCCACATTACCCCTCTGAAAACAACTTTCCACAGCCGGCAGAACCTCCTTAAAAACCCTTTCTCATATTCATGGGGATTGATCGTCGAACCCTCCTTGTACATTCCCCCCTTATCTTTCAAACATGATTATGGGACCAATCTATTCAGCGGATCTCCCTACTCTCCTAGCCTAACCCCATTTTTCCCCCAAGGGTTACGTTATGCCTTTGGGGCTTTCCCCTCTTCCCCTGTCGAGAGCCTCTATGCAGAAGCGAAGTTCCATCCTTTTCCATCGCCGTGATGCCCGTTGCCTTTGCTATATGTACGCTCTCATACTCCGCAACCTTCATTTATAGAATGGTCACTGATATTAGTAGACTTCTTTATTTGTTTGCCGCCCCCCGTTTTCTCCATCCCCCCTCTCTTCGCCTTTATTTGCTCTTGTCTTCTCTTCAATTACCACCTTTCTATGTACATGTAGCATTTCACTTTTCCCTACCCCCCTGGGAAGTTCCAGCTGTTCGAGTCTGTTCTTTCTCTCTCCCTTGCTCGAAAGCCCAACTGTCTACGGTCGCTTCCCGCTCTCATTTTCTTGACCATTTTCACTCTCATTCTCATGCCATTGCTGTGTACACAGATGGCTCTAAGTCTTCTGACGGTGTAGGATTCGCAGCAGTTTTTCCGGACAGCGTCGTACAAGGGCATTTACTGTCTTCGGCTAGTATTTTTACTACTGAATTGTATGCCATCCTTACAGCACTTATCCGTATTGCATCTATGCCTGTGTCATCATTTGTGGTTGTCTCAGACTCCCTTAGTGCTTTACAGGCTATACAGAAATTTGATACACCTCACCCCTTAGTCCTCCGTATCCAACTTTGGCTATGCCGCATCTTTACCAAGCATAAAGATAGTTTTTTGTTGGGTCCCTGGTCATGTTGACGTACAGGGCAATGAACAGGCAGACACTGCTGCACGGTCAGCAGTACATGACCTACCAGTTTCATGTAGAGGTATTCCATTTACAGACTATTTTGCTGCAATATCTTCCCAACTTCACACCCGTTGGCAACAACGTTGGTCTACTATGCTCGGCAACAAACTTCAATCTATTAAACCGAGTATAGGTTACTGGCCGTCTTCTTATCACCAGTGTCGAGGTTGGGAGACTACTCTCTCCCGTCTTCGCATTGGCCATACTCGTCTTACTCATGGATATCTCATGGAGAGGCGCCCTGCTCCTCTCTGTGAGAATTGCCAAGTTCCATTGTCAGTCAGCCACATTCTGTTGGACTGCCCACTTTATCAACGAGCACGCAGAATTTACCTTCGTCGTCGTCTTCGCTCTGCTGCTCTCTCTTTACCTTCCCTTCTCGCTGATGGACCCACCTTTCATCCAGACTCTCTCATTGACTTTTTGACAACAACTGACTTACTTCACAAATTCTGATACCTTCAGCCCTTTCTACTTCAATCTCTTGCTACCCCCTACCCTCGTACTATCCCCTGCCCCGCTGTTTTCTGTAACCTACTGATCATCCCTCCTCCCTTCTGCCATCCAATACCCTCGCTTCCTTCCCTACCCTGCAGCGCTGTATAGCCCTTGTGGCTTAGCGCTTCTTTTTGATTATAATAATAATACACACGTTATACAATTATGTCTATGAAACTACAGCATCGACGGAGTTTGTAAACCTAAGTGATTGCTCAAAACCAGGAAAATAATCATGCTACAATACAGCCATGAATATATAAACCACTTAGGATATACGAGAACGCAAATTTGCTTGTAAAAAGATACTTAGAACATACTGCCAAATAATTTTATCAATCAGTCACCACCGGGGCTACGACCTGGATAAATTTATTCATGGTAGCTGACTTTATTCCTCTGTTTATGAATGATTCTTAGGTTTCATTGAAGAGTTCCACACATTTTCTCTGCACTTTTTCAGCTGCACTTGTTAGCTTTTTGTTCACTATTTACTGAGGTTCCCAGTGTGTTCTGCTTGCCACGGCCTAGTATGTTTTTCTCCTTATGCTCGAAATTATCGAGAAGTGGTTAGCCCACAAGGACCTGGAATTTTTATGGTTCCCTGGCCATGTTGGTGTCCAGGGAATGGGCAGATAAGAATGCTTGGGGGTAATAGGGGTCCTACAGGCAAAAAACAAGACGTATTGAGATTGATCCTTCTTCAATAGCATTTGTCATTTTGAGATGATCTCAGTCAACTGAAGATCAGGAGCACATCTCCCATACAGATTCCTGTTTGCAGATGCTCGTGTGTGCGGGTAATTGTACTGTGAGACACATTTTTACTGTTCACTCACAGCTAAGGCCTTTTATTCATTTGTCGTCGATTTTGTAATTTCTGTGGTACCTGCGGCAGGAATCTCAAAAACTTTGTTATATTTGAACATTAACAATTTAATGTTAATTTTAACTGTTGTTTGTTATTTTCATTGGTGAGATAATATTTGTGTGTTGTGTGTTTTATTCAGGAAAGTATTTTTATAACTTAATTTTTCTTATTTGTGTTGTATTTTTTTTATTTTTTTTTTTTTGCCAAAAGCTCTGAAAGATTTACGTGATTTATATGCCCCTAAGGTTTCAAATCTACCTACTTATCCATGTACCGTAATTCTTTCTCTTCAGTTATATTCCCAAATCCACACTGGCAGCAGTAATCATATGTGCTGTGATTCATCTCATTGATTACGAGATCTTGGCTCCTCTCTGGAGGAGTAAGAAGAACGACCTGGTACCTCTTATAGTCACCTTCTTGGCCTGCCTCTTGTGGGGACTCGAGTGGGGGATTCTGTTGGGCATCGGTGTCAATCTCTCAATGCTTCTGTATTCCGTTGCTACACCCACCGTCATCGTGACAGTTGTCCCACCCAGTGTAAGTTCCCTTCTTGTAACTAGTCATTCTGCTGGATTTTGGAAGATAATTCACTGGATGTTAGAAAGAGTGATCTGCCAGAAAGTAACTATTTAATGTCGATTTTTTTTTTTTGAGGTAGAGGAAAGCGAGTTACCATAATTATATTGTCTCAGAATTCTAATATATATATATATATTTTATATATATATATATATATATATATATATATATATATATATATATATATATATATATATATATATTATATATATATTGAAAGATGCATTACTTATATTAAACTTCTGAGCGTTTGGTTAAAATGTTAATAATTCAACAAAGAAAAAACAGAACATCAAATGACTGTAAAGTAGTTTACTTCATCATAAAAACAACACAGAATAAATGTGCTTCTGGGTTTATTTACTTTATTTAACGACATTGTTCAGATGCGTTTTTATGTTTTAGTAATGGTTTAACTCTTTTGTACAAATTACTCAGTAGCTTAACATATTTATAAATCTGTAATGACCAAAAAGCAATGTATATCAACCTGTAATTATACACTATAATACCTGAATTATAGTCATGGTAAATGTAATAAGTGTTTGCTTTTGAGTCTTTTATTCAATAGTCATAAAATATCTTTTTATTCACTCCAACTTTCTCATGTTTACCTCAGAAGCATTGTAGATGATATGTTCTGACTACTGTACTCTTTATGGCTTCTGGTGTTCCAGCACCTCCCACATCTCTGAATGATGGTAGAGGATATGTTCTGGTCACTGTACTTCTCATGGATTCTGATGTTCCAGCACCTCGCACTTACTCATCTTTCTCTCTCAGAATGATAATAGAGGATATGTTCTGGTTACTGTACTTCTCATGGCTTCTGGTGTTCCAGCACCTCGTACTTACTCATCTTTCTCAGAATGATAGTAGAGGATATGTTCTGATTACTACACTTTTCATGGTTTCTGGTGTTCCAGCACCTCGCACTTACTCATCTTTCTCAGAATGATAGTAGAGGATATGTTCTGGTTTCTGTACTTCTCTTGGCTTCTGGTGTTCCAGCACCTCGTACTTACTCATCTTTCTCAGAATGATAGTAGAGGATATGTTCTGATTACTGCTCTTCTCATGGCTTCTGGTGTTCCAGCACCTCGCACTTACTCATCTTTCTCTCTCAGAATGATAGTAGAGGATATGTGCTGGTTACTGTATTTCTCGTGGTTTCTGGTGTTCCAACACCTCCACACCTCAGAATGATGGTAGAGGATATGTTCTGGATGCTGTACTTCTCATGGTATCTGTTGTTCCAGCACCTCGCCCTTATCTTTCTCAGAATGATAATAGAGGATATGTTCTGATTACTACACTTCTCATGATTTATGGTGCTCCAGCACCTCGCACTTACTAATCTTTCTCTCTCAGAGTGATAGTAGAGGATATGTTCTGGTTACTCCTTGCCACGGTCTCAGTTTCCCCAGCACTTCCCACATCCGTGGTGCCGTCAGAAAGGCTGGGCTCCGGCAGGCTGCTGGCTCTCTTCCTGTTGTTATTGACTGTTTCTGCATTGATACTGTTGACTACACATCAGTTAAGGTACGTCTAACATCTTCTGTCTTATTTAAATTTAAATATATATATATTAATTATTTGTCATATTGTGAAGAGCAAGTGTTATTTTATGTAATTATATTAGAGATTATACAGGTCACTGTCAAATTGTAGATTATTACAATATTTTGAATAACACTGCTGAAATTATTAATGCTTGAACATGTCACATATTCCCGTATTTGAGAAAAAAAAATAATTTATACTGATAAGTACTGGAGAGGCATCTATTGTCTCCGTTTGAACATCAGTTATAAGAAATGCTAATGGAAAGCAATTACTAATCCCTTTCTGATACTTTGAATTTATATTAATTAACTTATATTTAATAAGCAGTTTTATTTCACTGACAATGGACAATAAATACAAAATATTTTGGTAACATTTTATACTGGCATTTTGATAATTAGGGCATAAAGGGGATGATAGAGGAGTTCCAGCTGCGTGGGCAGAGCCTTGTGTTCTTGGGCATGAAGCCAAACATCATTCAGATCGTTCAAGCTCTTCACAAAGACATCAGGATTTGCTCCAGCTTTGATGTTCTGCCTGAGGCTCTGGCAGGTATGTGATGTTCTATCTGAGGCTCTGGCAGGTATGTGATGATGTTTTGCCTGAGGCTCTGGCAGGTCTGTGATGTTCTGTGTGAGGCTCTGGCAGGTATGTGATGATGTTTTGCCTGAGGCTCTGGCAGGTATGTGATGTTCTATCTGAGGCTCTGGCAGGTATGTGATGATGTTTTGCCTGAGGTCTGGCAGGTCTGTGATGTTCTGCCTGAGGTCTGCCAGGTCTGTGATCATCAGTGAGGTTCATATCAGTGTAGAGATCACACCATTACATGCACCATATTTTGCTTTAGGACTTAACTCACTAAAATGAGAAAAATACTTAATTTCATATCCCAAGTGACTCAAGAAATCGTAATGACACGATTGCAAACAAACCATACCCCCGGCCGGGATTGAACCCGCGGTCATAGTCTCAAAACTCCAGCTGGAGTTTTGAGACTCTATGACCGCGGGTTCAATCCCGGCCGGGGGTATGGTTTGTTTGCAATCGTGTCATTACGATTTCTTGAGTCATGTTGACGGCAGTGAAGGGATTTGAGCTAGAGTTCGTCACGGCCACGCTAGCTGGAGATTCGTCTGTAAAAACTTGCATTTGTGGTCACAGTGGTGCCTGTGCTAACCTTCCTATGGTGTAGAAATATACCTAGTTGGATGAATCTTATTGTGGCTAGCTGGTCTAGTGGCTAACGCGACGGGCTGGAGTTTTGAGACTCTATGACGGCGGGTTCAATCCCGGCCGGGGGTATGGTTCATATCCCAAGTGGCTGAACAGTCTCTCAAACATTAATATAGACTATGATAAAACGCTCAAGTATGGGAGAGAGGGACATAGAAGTTAACATTAACAAAAGGCTTTTACCCGAGGATCATAGAATGTTAAGAATATCCAGTGAGACAATGGCCAATATTAAGTTTCCTTTAGATACACAAATGGTAAAACACTAAGAGAGTCGTTCGTAATACAAGAACTAAGCAGCGGTGGTGTGGAATTCTTACATAAACAGCACACAATTCTAACACGTAGATGAGTAAGATACATGTACAACAGCTAGGTACTTTTATTGTCAAAAACAATATCTATTAATGTGGCACATGAGTCTTACTCAGGATACGCTGAAGTGTAAGGTCAGGGGTGTGAGGGAGAAGTGAAACAGTGATCACAGTATGTGCCAACATGATGTGGGTAGCGGGTGGGGTCAGGTTCAGGGTAATCGTCAACACTGTGTGATGGGTCTTGCCAGTATCTGTTGGTTCATGCAATTGTTCTTCCTTGAATAACCCAAGTAGTGTAACTTATTTCCGTTGTGGTCCTCTCACTCCTGCTCAATGATGCTAGCCACAACAGCCTGATTAATTCTAGCTAGGTGAACAGGTAGAGCAGTTGTAAGTTTCCCTTACGTCTGGCTTCACCTGGGAATCGAACCCGGATTCATTATGTTAACACGGTCGCTCCACACAACAAGAATTATAAAAATATGAATTTTGATGACAGGCTAAAACTCCAAAAATACGCGTTTTGGCTAATACCAGGTAGAATACTAAAACAAAATCTTCACACAGTGGTGGAACAGACGGAATTAGTGTTATTAGCAATGAAAATTAAAAAATACATATATACATTGAAAACTAATCCACGAGCTTAGCTATTACTCACGAAATCGTAATGACACGATTGCAGACAAACCATGCCACAGGGGGATGGGGTTGGAACCCTCGTCGGTCTGGAGTTTTATGAGTAATCGCGGGTTCTAACCCCGCCCGTGGTATGGTTTGTCTGCAGTCGTGTCATTACGATTTCGTGAGTAATAGCTGAGCACATTAAGATACACAACAAGTTTAAGAGGGCAGTCTATAAAGCATTATTTTCAATGCGCAGCAAATGCAGCTCTTTTGGGCACAATATACATATGTTCCTATTATAAGGAATACACTAAACACTGTGGAGAAGGAATAAGCTTTCTTTTTTAAATGTAATGTTATTCTTTATTATCAAATATTAGTCTTTTTATATAAATTCTGTGTACAGAGCTCAGTTTTATGTAAATTCAGTGTACAGAGCTCAATTTTGTATAAATTCAGTGTACAGAGCTCAATTTTGTATTCAAAGAAGTGTTTCTGGATCAATATTACTTAAAAATACATCTGAACTACTGTACCATATTGTTTGGCAACCATAATAATCTGTTAATTAATGAGCTCTTGTCTCAGATGGTGAGGCCGAGACGGGGATGGAATCTGTCGAATGTGCTAGCCGACACAAAGGAGAAAATATACTTATTCCTGCCATCACATCCACGCCTTCACCTGACACCAGTGATGCAGCCAACCCGCTGCTGACCCCCACAACTTTCCACGACCAGAAGTAGTGCAACTTTACTACTGTTTTGGCCGGAAATAGTAGCTCTTCAGAGAAAGTCAGAGAAAACTCTGAAACAGATCAACTAGTCTGTCTAAAATCTCTTATTGCTGGAAGCCAATGGGTATGTACCTACACGGTAGGTACATACATGGAAGATACATACACGTGTTGGGGTCCCAAGTCCAAGGGACATTCAGTTTAAAAACATCGCAGAGAAGGTGATCCTAGCTGTGAGCGCTTGTGACTGCTGAGAGACCAAGTCCAGAGAATTTCATCGACTCACTATGCGCTAATGAGTAGTTAAGTACGAGGGACATAAAAACATTTAGATATATTCATCCCACTGCAATACTCAATCAAACTCGATTCCAGAATTGATCAAGATATCAGGTGGGACGTGTTTCAGCAGCATCAGAGTTAATCATACTGAAGCTGAAAACTGTTATATCAAAGACTCCAGTGACGTTCTAGCAATAAGTCTTGTGTCCTCATAACAGAATATTGTGTTCTCATAACAGCATCTTGTGTTCTCATAATGTTATGTTAAAGCAAAATATATCTTTGTGATGTAATAATAAAGACTGGCGCATACTGTACTTGCAACATATAGTTTAAGACTTCCTGGCACTACATATGAGCAGACAGGCCAGCAGACCTGTGACGTCTAATTCAGTGAGGGTTATATATCAATTTTTACACCTATCGTTAACAGTCTGGTTCACGCTACCTGCATGAACACCTCGTCATGGAAACAGATTGGCTTACTTAAAGAATAGTGATACTCATTTATATTCAGTAATTAGGGAATGTTTCTTCTGGTCGGCTTCAAAATAATAATATACTCTATTCACCATGGGAAACTGAAGATTAATTTTTCCCTCCTAAGCCACGCGTGTCGTAAGAGGCGACTAAAATGTCGGGAGCAAGGGGATAGTAACCCCTTTTCCTTCATAAATTACTAAATGTAAAATGAAAACTTTTTTTTCGGGTCATACTGCCTCGGTGGGAGACTGTCCAAAATAATGATGATGCCCCATAATTTCCGACTGAGTAGATAAATTTTTGTCTGAAATTGTTAGAAATATGGAATCTTTCGATTCTCAACAATTACTTGGAAATGCCTTCTCAGACTGGCTTCAAACTTTCATTGCTGATAAATTTATTAGAATAAAGCTTGGAGCTCATTTCTAGCTGTGTAAATTTCAATTTGCCCATTTTATTTGTTGAAATGAAATGACCACCCCAACCCCTGCCTGGGGTCGAGAGAACAATATAGTGTCATACCTGGAGTATACGTGGAAGGTGTTTCGGGGGTCAACGCCCCCGCGGCCAGGTCTGAGACCAAGCCTCGTGGTGGATCAAGGTCTGATCAACCAAGATGTTACTGCTAGCCGCAGGCAAACTGAGGTATGAACCACAGACGGGTTGGTCAGGTACTGACTGTAGAGACCTGTCCAGTGCCTTCTTGAAGACATATACTCCCATATTCTGAAATCAGGGTGAAGAAAGAAAAAATGAATAGAAGAAAAGGCACTTTGGAGAAGAGAAATATATGCTGCCTCTACTTGATCTTTTAGTAGTAGTAAATTCTAGAGGAATCTACTACTAATAAATTAGCCATACTACTTGTATGGCTCCAATCTGGAGCTATACAAGTCCTGTATGGCTTCAAATTGGAGCCATACAGGACTTGTAAGATATACTAGACAAAATGGAATATCTTAATGTTATTCATTTATGGTTGGGTCTCCTCTTCAAGGGAGGCTCCTTGGCGTGGTGGAGAGGCTCTTGGTCTGAGGAATTAGACCTGTCGGTCTTCTTCCTCAGACCGAACCTAATTACCCCCCAATCTCCCCTCCCCTATCCCATCCTCCCCTTTTTCCTTTCCTCCTCCTCCTCCCCACCCCTCCCTTTTGCCCTTCCTCTTTTTGGCCTTTGGGATTTCTCCCACAGGCACGCTAGTTCCTAGGTAGGGGAAAGGATACCGGGGTCCATCCCATTCCGTTGAGGTTCTTGGCGGTGGCGTAGTTTGCCGTGGAATCTGGATCGCCTGGGGATGTCCCGATCCCTCTTCGGTATCCCGGAGTAGCTTTGGGTGTCTTTCGGGCGACGGATGTATCTCTGGAAGCCACCTTTCGGATTCCGGGGGTGGTGGCCGAAGGAGGTATGCTTTGTGGCGGATATCCGGCCGCCCTCTCTTTTGTCCACCGAGGTAGCTCGGCAGATGTGAGGTTGCTATCCCGGATTGTTAGTTTACTAGCATGATGGGTAGGGTATGGCACGGGTTCCATGCTGCATCTGCACTACTTGCGGTGCTGAGGTCCTCTTGGGCGCGGAGGGAGATTTCTGGCCCTTTCATTCCTCCTAGGAACTATCCCTCCCCGGTCCCCCTTTTTTATTCTTTTTTTTATTTTTATTTTCTTTTCTTCTTTCTTTTTTTCTTAAAAACAAAAAGAAAGAAGTAACCTAACCATGGCAGCCCTAGTCCATGAGCCTACTACCCCCGGGCCCCTTCTTGATACCGCACCCCGTTCTGACCCCCGCCTCGTCCTTGGACCACTCTTCAGACACTCCTCATGCCTCTGTACCTCTTGCCGGTGCTGTTTCCTCACCCGCTTCAGGTACTGAGGCCTCGACTGACTCCTTCGATTTATCAGACCTTCGCTCTCCTCTGACTATGCTTCCGGCCTCTCCCTCTACGGTGCTGCAATTTTCAAATCGCCGATCTGTTCCATGTCGGACCAACTCTGGTCCCACGCCTAAACGCCAACGACAATTACCTGCTGATGATACTTCTCCACCTTCTCGTTCTTCTCAGAAACGATCGACACGTCCTTCACTACCTTTCCACGCTCAGTTTCACACTGAACAATGGACTAAATTCTTCACTTTACGACCGACTCCTCTACTGCCTATCTTTCTGACCACAGTATTGGCAAGGCACTCCTACGCCATGTTGGTAAAGATATTTCTTTTCATGCTCTTAAGAGCGGTACGCGCATCATCACCGTACAGAATGCTACCAGGCTCATGAGCTCTCTCGTCTTTCCCATATCGATGCTGTTCCTGTCACTCTTGAAAAACATCATTCCCTCAATTCTTGTAGTGGTACCGTCATTCTGCCCCATACATAGTTCAACAAATTTCCAGACATGTGGCACTGACATTCTTGAACAGCTGGAACTCCAAGATCTCCCAATCCTCAAGGTAGACACTTACGCTCTTCCTGCCCGCGGGCAGAGACGATACCCTAGCAATGTGGCTCGTTTAACTTTTGACAGCCGAGAACTCCCATCCTCAGTTTATATAGCAGGACATCAGTTACAAGTTCGAAAGGTGATCCCTACACCACAACAGTGTAGAAATTGCTGGCGATTTGGCCATCCAGCGAAATATTGCAGATCTATCGCCGAATGCCCAGTCTGTGGTGCCGATGACCATTCTAATATGTCTTACAATCGATCTCCCTCTTGCCTTAACTGTCATGAGGCTCACCCTTCGTACTCTCACCGTTGCCAAGTCTATTTAAACGAGCGGGAAATCCATTACCTCAAAGAGACAGAAGGTCTCCCTTATGCCATGGCAGTTTCTCATCTCCGCCTCCAAGGGAGACTCCCACGTGTTTCTTATTCCCGTGTTTCTAAACGTCCCCCCACTTCTGGTATCCCATCTTCTACACCCACCTCTGTGGTTACCTCTCCCATAGTCACTCCTGTATCTAATCCTTTTGCTGTCCTCGGCTCAGACGTCCCTACTTCAACGCCTCAGTCTGATCTCGCTTCTTCGTGTTCTCTCTCACAAGCCTCAGTATCGACGAGACCTCGTACAACACCTCCTCCCAATCGTCCCTCCCTGTCTCTGTCCCTGGTTCTCCGCCTCTCACTGGCTCAGTTACAAGTGTAGAGGTTCACCCTCCTCCTCGTACTGTACCTTCCTTCCCTGTTCCCTCCCAAGTTTCTTCCTCTTCTGCCACCTCCCAGGTTTCTGCCTCTTCTGTCCCCTGCCACGCTTCTCCAGTTTCCTCCACCCTTTCGCCCCCCCCCTACCTTGGTACAGTCCAATACAGTTCCAATATTTACTCATCCTCCCCCTACCATTTCCAATATTGTCTCCCATACGACGTCTCTGAATTCGAAACACTTGAAGCAATCTCTGAATATATTGCAGACACCAAACCATCAATGGACACTGATCCACCTTCCGCTCTTTCTCTCTCCTCTGCTCCATCTGTGCAAACTCCTTTCTTCACAGCGCACCGTTCCTCTTCGCTGCTTGAACGTTTTCCATCTGCCTCCGATGTGGACTTTTCTAACCCCTCTAGTCCGTAGGAACCCTTACCTGCGGATTTCAAGTATTTTTATCATTGCCAATCATGGCCTATTTACAGTGGAATATACGCGGCCTCAGGGGTAATCGGGGGTGAGCTTCAGATGTTACTCTCCCAGTTTGCCCCTGTTGGTGTTTGTTTACAGGAACCAAATTACACTCTGCTGTTATTTCTCCCATCTCAGGCTATAATTATTGTATTCTTCAGATCCTTTTCCTGATGGGACCTTTAATGAAAGTGCCCTTCTTCTACGCACTGATATTCGTACCATCAGCTATTTGTTCATACTTCGCTGCATTACACAGCAGCCCGTATCCACTTACATAGGTGGTATACGCTCTGTTCTTTATATCTCTCGCCTTCTCGGGCATTATCTATTCCGGATATTGCCTTTCTTGTTTCGTTATTACCGCCACCGATTCTGTTACTTGGTGATTTTAATGCCCACCATTTCCTCTGGAGGGGGGTCTCACTGTGATTCCCGTGGAATTCAGTTAGAGGCTTTTCTTGCCACCCACCCTCTCCATGTTTTAAATACAGGTACTCACACCCATTTTGATCCTCGGACTCATACTCTCTGTTGCATCGATCTCTCAGTCTGCTCTTCCTCCGCCTCATTAGACTTCACTTGGTCTGTTCTCCTGGACTTACATGACAGCGATCATTTCCCAATCATTCTTACTTCCCCTTCATATTCGCCACCTCTTCGCACCCCACGCTGGCAATTAGATCGGGCAAATTGGAACCTTTACTCACACCTAACTGTTTTTAAAGAGGTTCCTTCTTCATCCTCCATCGATGAGCTTTTACACCTCTTCTCGTCCTCCGTTTTCACCGCAGCTTCTCATTCTATACCCCAAACTTCGGGCAGGCCTTCTCAGAAATGCGTGCCTTGGTGGTCTCCTGCTTGTGCTCGTGCAGTACGTTTGAAACGCGCTGCATGGGGCAGGTACTGGTACAATAGAACCACAGAGAGACTCCTTGATTTTAAACAGAAGCATGCGATCGCTCGCCGTGTCATCCGTGACGCTAAACGCACTTGCTGGCGAGATTATGTCTCCACCATCACCTCTGCTTCCTCTATGAGTGCAGTCTGGAAAAAAGTACGAAAACTGAGTGGTTCTGCGGGTTGCCGGGGTTGATATAGCAAGCCCACTAGATGTTGCCAATGAAATTGGCAATCATCTGGTCCGTATTTCTCAGGGACTCCATCTATGCCCCTCATTTCTTTCCTCAAAGTCTGCCAGAGAGTTAGCACCCTTGGACTTTTCTTCTCTCAGAGAAGAACAGTATAATGTGCCTTTTACACTTCAAGAACTGGAGGCAACACTCTCAGCTTGTCGATCATCGGCAGCTGGGCCCGACGACATTCATATTCGTATGCTACAACATTTACATCAGTCAGCCCTTGCAGTCCTATTACGCCTTTACAATCTTATTTGGTCACAAGGAGTTCTTCCACAGCTGTGGAAATCCGCCATTGTTCTCCCTTTCCGCAAACCAGGCACTATGGGACATGAAACCTCCCACTATCGTCCCATTGCTCTTACCAGTGCAGTTTGCAAAGTAATGGAACGCCTAGAAAATAGACGTTTAGTGTGGTATTTAGAGACACACAACAGTCTCTCCACTCGTCAATATGGCTTTCGTAAGGGACGTTCTACCATAGACCCCTTACTACACTTGGATAAGTATGTTCGTAATGCCTTTGCGAATAACCACTCAGTTACTGCCATATTTTTTGACCTTGAGAAGGCATATGACACAACTTGGAGGTATAATATTTTAGCCCAAGCCCACTCCTTAGGCCTTCGAGGCAATCTACCATCCTTCCTTAAGAACTTTTTAACTGACAGGCA